TCTACCGCCTTCGCTATTTTTAATGATAACAAACATAATAACATCGGGATTTATCTGAATCTACCGCCTTCGCTATTTTTAATGGTAACAAACATAATAACATCGGGATTTATCTGAATCTACCGCCTTCGCTATTTTTAATGATAACAAACATAATAACATCGTAATTTATCTGAATCTATCGCCTTGGCTATTTTCAGTGAAAACAAACGTAATAACATCCGAATTTATCTGATTCTGCGGCCTTTGCTATTTCCAATGAAAACAACCATAATAACAACTGAATTTATTTGAATCTACCGGCTTCGGCTTTTCCAATGAAAACAAACATAATAACATCCGAATTTATTTGAATATACCGCCTTCGCTAATTTTATTGATGACAAACTTAGTAACATCCGAATTTATCTCCAATTCCGATATTCGACACTCATACAATTAATTTACATCTGTTGGCGCATATATCGAGCTAACGTTCTCTGCTGACATGAAGTGGAAAGATCATATCCAATCAATTCCTCGGTCTGCGCTAGAAAATATGGTTCACTGTGCCTTGCTATACAATTTTTCTCTCCAGAATCTATCTTAAATAGTTATGTTCTGCATATTTCGCTCGACACCATGGAGGAAAAAAGACACCCTTTGAAATCTCGCCAGAGTAGTCGGTACCCTCCAAGATTCCTGGCTGACCTTGAATTTGCCGATGATCTTGCATTAATTTCTCAATGTATCAAAGATGCTGAATCTTGTCTGCAGTCGCTTGAGCAAGCAGCGAGCCAATTAGGTCGGTATTCCAACGAAAGTAAGACAGGATATATCACAACCTCCCCTGAACCATCCGAGTTGAAGACATTCAATAATACATCCATCAAAGGAGTTGAGGACTTCAAATATCTTGGATCTCACATAATAGAAAAAAAAAACAAGTTATGGAATGACGTCCTTTTCAAAGGACAATTATACAAAAAGTGAACCCATTAAACTGAACTGGAATTGAAATGGTTAAACAAATCCCACTTTCTGAATTATTGGTATGCTTTGTTTGTTTAACGGCATATCAACTCTTTATGGGTCATTTAATACTGAAATTTTATTTTCTTGTGAGCTTTTGTAATTTTTTTGCCCAAAAATGTAGCGTTGGTAAATTTTGTTTTACTATGAAACTATAATTTCTGGTAATTTTTTCTAATGTATTTTTATGATTCCATATTTTGACCCCAGTTTGGGGGTTCATTATTTAACCATATCTGGGACCCCAACAGTTGGTACCACCCTCGGTCAGGGCGGACCTGGGAACAACAGCAATTCAGACGTGGTTCCACGCTGCTCAAACATCCCGACCAGAGGCCTTGCTGCCGAATGTAGTTTATCGTCGTACCCAGGACGGTTCCAGAATAATTACAGTTATTAATACCTCATACAAAGTAATTCTGGATAAATGACGTAAGTAAATATCCATTCAGCGCGTACCTTCTGTCTAAACCGTTGAGGTATACCTAGGACAAGACCTATTCATGATAAGATCCGGTGGAGCAAAAGGCACTTGTGACGTTTCTAAGGTATTCGTTCGAAAGGAGGTAAGGGAATCTAAACGACCTAAGCTGTAATTCGAACTCTTCATGGTAGTATTTATACTAATGTTCATCCAATATAAGACCCAAGACTCACTCAAGGTAGAGGGTTGCTGTATGAGGTTAGGAATAGGCAAGAGGTGAAGTTAATGAGGCTAGACACGAAAGGCAGCGGTTAAAACTAAACTTGAAGAGCTCGATCTTGCAGGGCGAAATTCTTACTGGTTTTCGCTCAGGAGATTGTTCTTTTTGCGGTATTCAGCAAACATCTTATTGGTTATCGATCCTAAGAGCTTGTTGATTACACTAAAGGGACTAATGAGTTGATATTGTGACATGCTCGCCCGCATTCTTAAAAAGAGGGCACACAGTTGACACCTTCCATGAACTTGGGAAGCATCATCCCTTCAGGTAACGGTGAAACAGTTTGGTCAGAATTGGACATAGCTCTGGGCTGATATTCTTACGAACAATCCCTGGGATTTTGCCATCTTCTTAGAGCCAAGGATTGTAGTTACACTACTTCTTAACTCCGATAGTATGCTATCATAAACAATTTAAAATTTTATTCATGCTTCTAAAACATTAGAACGGTTACCATTATAATATCATTTTTCGTTGTCTTTTGAAGCGTTTTCAAGAAACCGTTTGCGATAATCCGGCCCCTGGAGCGTACAATGATCCCCGGACATCTCTTCAATTTAGAAAAAGAATCAGTGGATTAAAACAAAGTCCCTTCGGCCAAACAGCTGTGCGCTTTCAAAATGACATTCAAAGAAAAAAAGAACCCGGTAAGTGTTTTCAATTTTTCATTTATTTTATTTAAAAAAAAAACAACTTAATTCCTCTTCTCCGTGCTGTGTCCATTCAGGACGTATGCGATCATAGCTCTCCACAGTTTCCTATCCTTTGTAGAGCTTAATAACATGTCTTTTTGTTACTTCGCCGAAACCTTGTTCCGCGATCCATTTACTCAAGCTTGCTAGGTAGGTTATTGTTGAAACTTGACTAATGCATGGAATAATAATACAACACAAAATGTACTTAGAACAAAATGTATTGAAACAAGAAAGTGTACACAATATTTACATATAGTCTTTTGTATATTCTTGGGAATTTGTATATTCTTTAGAATGTGTTGACTGAGTCGCAGTCGGGCAGAGTCTCTGGATTGAATCTCTTGATTCCTCTCCTCGTCTTCCCGGTACCAACCATATTTATATGGTCGGTACTCCACTATGCAAATTAGGTGGATCCTACCACAACAGTTATGCGTTTTTTCCCCTCTGTCCTTCTTGCTTTCACTCTGTTTTGTGAGTATCTGATTTTCCAAGCCTTCTTTCCTCATCATGTACCCTGGAAATGTCAACTGTCTCTTCCCGATGATAAGTATAGGAGTGCTTTTTGTTTCAATTGTCTCTAGAACTTCGTCGTTCGGCTCATGGTATTCTCAGCATCCTTTTGTTGCCTTAAGTATTTTCTTAATCCGTGATGAGACAGTCCAGTACACTTACTTCGTTTTCTTCCCTGTTTCTTGATACTTTGCTTAAATTTTAGAAGGCATCTTTCACTATCCCATGTTCACATGTTCAGTTATTGGTATTCTCAGCATTCTTTATGCCGAACCATATTTCTCTTGATTCAAGTCTCTTCATCCGTGGGGAGATTGTCCAGTATTCATTGCTATGAAGGAGAACTGAACAGTTCCTTGCTCTTTACTTGTTTCTAACGAAATCCTCCTTTATCTTAATATTTTGTTTAGTTTCTGGAGTGATATTTCATAGCAGTTCAGTGCTATTTTCTTTGTTTCTAAAAAATATTCATTTTTCTTAATACTTTGCTTAGCTTTTGGAATGATATTGCATAACAGTTCAGTGCTCTTTTGTTTCTAACGAAATATTCCTTTTTCTTAATACTTTGCTTAGCTTTTGAAGTGATATTACGCAAGAGTTCAGTGCTTTTTTCTTTGTTTCTAAAAAATATTCCTTTTTTTAATACTTTGCTTAGTTTTTGGAGTGATATTACATAACAGTTCAGTGCTCTCCTTTTTTTTAACAAAATATTCATTTTTCTTAATACTTTGCTTAGTTTTTTGAGTTATATTACATAACAGTTCAGTGCTTTCCTTTTTTTTTTTTTAACAAAATATTCATTTTCTTAATACTTTGCTTAGTTTTTTGACTGATATTACATAACAGTTCAGTGCTCTCCTTTTTTTTAACAAAATATTCATTTTTCTTAATACTTTGCTTAGTTTTTTGAGTTATATTACATAACAGTTCAGTGCTTTCCTTTTTTTAACAAAATATTCATTTTTCTTAATACTTTGCTTAGTTTTTTGACTGATATTACATAACAGTTCAGTGCTCTCCTTTTTTTTAACAAAATATTCATTTTTCTTAATACTTTGCTTAGTTTTTGGAGTGATATTACATAACAGTTCAGTGCTCTCCTTTTTTTAACAAAATATTCATTTTTCTTAATACTTTGCTTAGTTTTTTGAGTGATATTACATAACAGTTCAGTGCTCTCCTTTTTTTAACAAAATATTCATTTTTCTTAATACTTTGCTTAGTTTTTGGAGTGATATTACATAACAGTTCAGTGCTGACGAAATTTTCCAGTTCCCTAATAATTTGTTTAGTTTTATTTCATTTAGATTTGCACTTTATAAAACATCACCAACTTAAATCATTTTTTGATTGCACAAGTAGACTAGTTTAAGTATAATATCTCGATAATGTTTAATGTTCCGTAATAGTCCTCAAATCAAAGAATATTTGACAGGATATTTATTATTCAGAAATAGTCTTTAAAAATGACAGATGTCTCTTATTTTCTTTTGATGATGATGCATTAGACAATTGGTTTGATTAGTTTTATATTGCATACCTAAATATCGCTGTCAAAAAGCGGGAGAAAATTTCCGTCAGTTTTCAATTGCATTGTAGGTATAAGATTTAGAAAACTTGCCTTGCATTTTCTTATTTATATTCAATACTTTCTGAAAATGTATCTAAACGAATGACATTCGATTCACTAGTGAATAGGCTTAAGGCTGCATTAGTTTGAAACACCGGTTTCCTGTACAATCACCGAAGTTAAGCAACGTCGAAGCTTATCAGTATCAAGTTGGGTGATTGCTTGGTACGGGAAACTTGGATGTGCGTGTGGTATAAATGACTTATAGCCACATCACTTTGAAATATCGGTTCCCGTACGATCAACGAAGTTAAGCAATGTCTAAGCTCGTCAGTACCAAGTACTGTAAGATTTGATGTGAGGATAGCATGGCCTACGACAACATTACGTTGCCCCGTTTCATGTACTATCACCCTAGTTAAGCAATGTCGAGCCTGGTTAGTACCTAGATGGGTGACCGCTTGGGGATTCTAGGTATTGTAAGCTTTGATGTGAGGATAGTATGGCTTACGGCCACATCACGTTGAAACGCCGTTTCATGTACCATCACCCAAGTTAAGCAACGTCGAGCCTGGTCAGTACTTAGATGGGTTACTGCTTGAGAATACCTGGTACTGCAAGCTTGCATCTAATGGTAGTATGAGTAAATCACGCCGAAACACCCGTTCACGAGTGATCACCGAAGTTAAGCAACGTCGAACATGGCTAGATAGGTTACCCCTCGAGAACATGAGGTGCTGTAAGCTTAAATTATGGCGGTAGCGTAATGGAATTGTTCATCGAAAAACCGAGTTCCAATTACAGTGATATTCCCTTGTGTTCGCGAACACCCTTGGGAGAGGTCTGAATGCACCTACACCCCCCAGCTTAGGTTTAATTAGTCGTACTGTCGGCGTGGGATATTATATATAATGGTTTAATTAGTGAAACTTGTATCACTAAACCATTATTCCCCTACAATGATAAATGAAATGGGTGTGCAAAATATTTAAATTTCTGCATTAAATCAACCAACAAATCACTGTTGATTAACGAGGAGTATATATATATATATATATATATATATATATATATATCTATAATTAATGAAAAACAGACCACTTTAAGGTACCATTACAATAATTTATTCCACCAAAATCCTTTTTAAAGGACTCCGGATCATCAGGTAACAATTAAATTATTTAAAAAGTCCTTTAAAAGGATTTTGGTGAAATAAATTATTGTAATGGTACCTTAAAGTGGTCTGTTTTCATTAAATATTAGCTCTGTATTCACATTGAGCTCTCAAGTTTCATCCTCCTTGGAATTACCCATTCAGTTTACCAAGTTCTTCGTAATTTAATTATATATATATATATATATATATATATATATATATATATATATATATATATATATATATATGTGTGTGTGTGTGTGTGTGTGTGTGTGCGTGTGAAAATCTTTCCGATTTAACCAGTAGAAAGACAATATTTATGAATAAAAATGACAATAGGAAAATTAGTAATTGCTGACGCGTTTCGTCCAATGTGGACTTTATCAAAGTAAAATACGAAATGAATTTAATTGAACACGATAACTAATAAAAACAAAAAACAGAATGTTCCTAGCAACTGGAGTGTGGAGAAACGCTATTTTCATATTGTTAACTGAAAATAACGTCAGTATTTGTCATGTGTGGAGAATATTGTCATTGTAAAATCAAAAGAAAATGGTTGAATACATCAACACAGATACAATTATATATATTATATTATATTATACTGTGAATATAAACTATATAGGGAGATATTAGAAATTATATAAATATATATATGATTCTTAATATCTCCTTATTTAGTTTATATTCACACACACATACATATATATATATATATATATATATATATATATATATATATATATATATATATATATATATCAGATTAATTTTAGAAAAATCTATGACCTTTTGCTACAAAGCACAGCAGAAATAGCTCCCGCATAATGGTCAGATATTTGCTACAAAGTACGGCAGTAATACCTCCCACATAATGGTAAGATATTTGCTAAAAAGTACGGCAGTAATATCTCCCACATAATGGTAAAACATTTGCTGCAAATACGTTAGAAATACCTCCCACATTTTAAACTGTCACATCTGTGACTTAGGCATGTGACAATAGTGTCTTAATCCAGCTAATATCATACAATTATGTAAGAGGCATTTCTGAGGTGTATGTGTGGGAGTTATTTCTGTCGTGTTAAAATCCCTTGTGAAATTAAGCACTGCTTACAAATGATATTGAACTTGAAATCCAACTATTTTTTTCTATTAGATAACTCCGACTAAAACAAACAAGTCATGAGCTTTCTCCGAAGTTTCCATTTCTTTGCAAACTATAGCTGGAAGTGGGGATGCTTTCTATTGAAATGGTATCCTTAAAAGAGAAGTATTTCCCGGCATTTTCAAAACAAAGATGGTTGACATTACACGACCGTTAATAAACAGGCTACACTGCTGCTTCTGAAAACTCTTATCTCCTTTAGGCCAATGTCGACTGTCCACGAGGCCGCTACTCTGTCAATATTTGTCAACATCGTAAATTCCTTGGGGTTTGAATGGCACTTGACAGACACCAGAAGCAGTTGTCAAAAAGTTGACAAGAAACCGACCACATGGAGTTGACAGTGAATATGATGACGTATTCAATTCTGTTTGTCTGATAGAAACTCAATGCTGGTGGCGATTTGGCAACATAGAACTCTGGTTTTGGAACTTCTTGGAGATGATGGAGATAGCAATGGCGACCTCGATTTCGGATGATAACGGTTGAAATGAGGAGTTTACTAATGCTGAAGGTGACGCTAGATTGAGGTGTGACGGTACCTGTCGTCTGGACTATGATTTCAAATTAACATTTATCAGCGTGACCAGCTGCGTTTGCCAGCTGGCCTGGTAATGGAGAAAAATGACAAAGGAAAAGAAAAGGAAAAAGAAATGAAAGGAAGACAGAAAGATTCAAAGAGAGAAAGGAAATATTTTGAAGAAAACAAAAAAAAAAAAAAAAGTTAAGATTTGTTCTTCAGTAATGAAGCTACAAGAATAATAAATAATTGAGAGCAACGATGGGTTTTTAGAAAAAGAGTAAATAGAAAAGACAGAGGAAGAAATGGCGGCAAAAAAATACGAATACAAAGGAAGAAGAGACGAAAAAGTGACAAGGAAGAAAATAAAAGGAGAAAATGGGAAAAAAATGAAGCATTAATACAATTCAAGATAATTGAAATAAAACAAATTGTACTAAGAAAGAATAAAAAAATAAAAGATACAAATAAATGGTGAAGAATGTAAGGAAGAAAGAAAAGAAAAAGCGGGAAGAAAAAAAAAACGAAAAACAAAGAGGAAGCTAAAGAAATAAAAACAAAGAAAGAAAATAGCAAAGAAAATGAGTAAAAAGACGGCAGATAATGCGGAAAGAAATTAAAGTCGGAAAGAAAACTGAATTAAAAGAAAGAAAGAAAGAAAGAAAGAAAGAAAGAAAAACAGGCAAAAGTAAGTAAGAAAGAAAGAAATGGTAGGAAGAAGAGCAAGAAATAAATAAAAAGAAAGAAAGAAAGAAAGAAAAACATGTAAAATTAATAAAGAAAGAAAGAAATGGTAGGAAGAAGAGCAAGAAAGAAGTAAAAAACGAAAGAAAGAAAGAAAAAGATGAAAAGGTAATACGCAAAGAAAAACAGAAAGGGAAGGAAGAAGAGCATGAAATAGATAAAAAGAAAGAAACAAAGAAACAAAGAAAGAAAAAAAAGAAAAAGTAATAAAGAAAGAAAGAAATGGTAGGAAGAAGAGCAAGAAAGAAAAAAAAAAAACGAAAGAAAGAACGAAAATGATTAAAAGGTAATACGCAAAGAAAGAAAAAGAAAAGAAAGAAAAGAAAGAAAGAAAGGGAAGGAAGAAGAGCAAGAAATAAATAAAAAGAAAGAAAAAAAAAAAAGAAAAGAAAAGAAAGAAAGAAAGAAAAAAAAAGAAGGAAAGAAAGAAAAAAACATGAAAAATTAATAAAGAAAAGAAATGGTAGGATGAAAAGCAAGCAATGAAAGAAAAAACGAAAGAAAAAAAGAAAAAAAGATGAAAAAGTAATACGCAATGAAAAAAAAAGAAAAAGGGAAGGAAAAAGAGCAAGAAATAGATAAAAAGAAAGCAGAAAGAAAGAAAGAAAGAAAGAAAGAAAGAAGGAAAACATGCAAAATTAATAAAGAAAGAAAGAAATGGTAGGAAGAAAAGTAAGAAAGAAAAAAAACGAAAGAAAGAAAGAAAATGATGAAAATGTAATACGCAAAGAATGAAAGAAAGATAGAAAGGGAATGAAGAAGAGCAAGAAATAGATAAAAAGAAAGAAGAAAGAAAGAAAGAAAGAAAGAAAGACAGAAAAACATGCAAAATTAATAAAGAAAGAAAGAAATGGTAGGAAGAAGAGGAAGAAAGAAAAAAACGGAAGAAAGAAAGAAAATGGTGAAAAGGTAATACGCAAAGAAAGAAAGAAAGAAAGAAAGAAAGGGAAGAAGGAAGAGCAAGAAATAGATAAAAAGAAAGCAGAAAGAAAGAAAGAAAGAAAGAAAGAAAAACACGCAAAATTAAGAAAGAAAGAAAGAAATGGTAGGAAGAAGAGCGAGAAAAAAACGAAAGAAAGAACGAAAATGATTAAAAGGAAATACGCAAAGAAAGAAAGAAAGAAAGAAAGAAAGGGAGGGAAGAAGAGCAAGAAATAAATAAAAAAGAAAGAAAAAAGAAAGAAAGAAAAACATGCAAAATTAATAAAGAAAGTAAGAAATGGTAGGAAGAAGAGCAAGAAAGAAAAAAAACGAAAGAAATAAAGAAAATGATGAAAAGGTAATACGCAAAGAAAGAAAGAAAGAAAGAAAGAAAGAAAGAAAGAAAGGGAAGGAAGAAGAGCAAGAAATAGATAAAAAGAAAGAAGAAGACGTATCGTTCCAAGATCTGGGCTGCGGAGTGAAACCAGTGTACCACTGTTCAGTTTACCTAGGACAAAACGGATAGAGAGAGTGAGAATATAAGAAAGAAAGAAAGAAAGAAAGAAAGAAAGAAAGAAACAGAAAGAAAGAAAGAAAGAAACACAAAGAAAGAATGAAAGAAACTGCAGAAGAAAGAAAGAAAAAAGAAACAGAAAGAAAGAAAGAAAGAAAGAAACAGAAAGAAGGAAAGAAACAGAATCAAAGAAAGAAAGAAAGAAAGAAGGAAAGAAAAAGAAAGAAAGAAACAGAAAGAATGAAAGAAAGAAAGAAAGAAAGAAACAGAAAGAAAGAAAGAAAGAAACACAAAGAAAGAAAGAAAGAAACTGCAAAAGAAAGAAAGAAAGAAAAAAGAAACAGAAAGAAAGAAAGAAACAAAGAAAGAAACAGAAAGAAGGAAAGAAACAGAATGAAAGAAAGAAAGAAAGAAGGAAAGAAAAAGAAAGAAAGAAACAGAAAGAATGAAAGAAAGAAAGAAACAGAAAGAAAGAAACAAAGAAACAAAAAAGAAAGAAAGAAAAAAAACATGCAAAAGTAATAAAGAAAGAAATGGTAGGAAGAAGAGCAAGAAATAAATAAAAAGAAAGAAAGAAAGAAAGAAAAACATGTAAAATTAATAAAGAAAGAAAGAAATGGTAGGAAGAAGAGCAAGAAAGAAGTAAAAAACGAAAGAAAGAAAGAAAAAGATGAAAAGGTAATACGCAAAGAAAAACAGAAAGGGAAGGAAGAAGAGCATGAAATAGATAAAAAGAAAGAAACAAAGAAACAAAGAAAGAAAAAAAAGAAAAAGTAATAAAGAAAGAAAGAAATGGTAGGAAGAAGAGCAAGAAAGAAAAAAAAACGAAAGAAAGAACGAAAATGATTAAAAGGTAATACGCAAAGAAAGAAAGAAAGAAAGAAAGAAAGAAAGAAAGGGAAGGAAGAAGAGCAAGAAATAAATAAAAAAGAAAGAAAAAAGAAAGAAAGAAAGAAAGAAAGAAAGAAAGAAAAAAAAGAAGGAAAGAAAGAAAAACATGAAAAATTAATAAAGAAAGAAATGGTAGGATGAAGAGCAAGCAAGAAAGAAAAAACGAAAGAAAAAAGAAAAAAGATGAAAAAGTAATACGCAATGAAAAAAAGAAAGAAAGGGAAGGAAAAAGAGCAAGAAATAGATAAAAAGAAAGCAGAAAGAAAGAAAGAAAGAAAGAAAGAAAGAAGGAAAACATGCAAAATTAATAAAGAAAGAAAGAAATGGTAGGAAGAAAAGTAAGAAAGAAAAAAAACGAAAGAAAGAAAGAAAATGATGAAAATGTAATACGCAAAGAATGAAAGAAAGATAGAAAGGGAATGAAGAAGAGCAAGAAATAGATAGAAAGAACGAAAGAAAGAAAGAAAGAAGGAAAACATGCAAAATTAATAATGAAAGAAAGAAATGGAAGAAAGAAAGAAAGAAAGAAAGAAAGAAAGAAAAACACGCAAAATTAATAAAGAAAGAAAGAAATGGTAGGAAGAAGAGCAAGAAATAAATAAAAAAGAAAGAAAAAAGAAAAAGATGAAAAGGTAATACGCAAAGAAAGAAAGAAAGAAAGAAAGAAAGGGAAGGAAGAAGAGCAAGAAATAGATAAAAAGAATGTAGAAAGAAAGAAAGAAAAAATAAAGAAAGAAATAAAGAAAGAAAGAAAGAAAAACATGCAAAATTAATAAAGAAAGAAAGAAATGGTAGGAAGAAGAGCAAGAAAGAAAGAAAAAACGAAAGAAAGAAAGAAAATGATTAAAAGGTAATACGCCAAGAAAGAAAGAAAGAAAGAAAGAAAGAAAGAAAGAAAGAAAGAAAGGGAAAGAAGAAGAGCAAGAAATAGATAAAAAGAAAGAAGAAGACGTATCATTCCAAGATCTGGGCTGCGGAGTGAAACCAGTATACCACTGTTCAGTTTACATAGGACAAAACGGATAGAGAGAGTGAGAATATAAGAAAGAAACAGAAAGAATGAAAGAAAGAAAGAAAGAAAGAAACAGAAAGAAAGAAAGAAAGAAACAAAAAAGAAAGAAAGAAGAAAAACATGCAAAAGTAATAAAGAAAGAAAGAAATGGTAGGAAAAAGAGCAAGAAAGAAATAAAAAACGAAAGAAAGGAAAAGATGAAAAGGTAATACGCAAAGAAAGAAAGAAGGAAAGAGAAGGAAGAAGATCAAGAAAGAAATAAAAAGAAGGAAGGTAGTAAGGAAGAAAGTAAGTAAGGAATAGAAAGGAGAAAAAAAGATGGTTCAAATAAAGAAAAAAGAAAAGTAAACAGTAGAAATAAATGAATGAAAAAAAAAGAAAGAAAAGTATGAAAATAGAAAACAAAAATAAGTAAAAATGAGGAAGGAAGAAAAGAAGTAAAAAAAATAAAAAGAAAGAATCTAGAAAGTTAGGAAATAAATAAAAAAAAAAACAGGAAATAAATAATTCAAAAAAAGAAGAACAGAAAATATACGGGAAGAAATAAATAAAGCAGAAATAGGGAATCAAAAGGAAAGAAGGAGAGAAAGGCAGATATAGGAAAAAAGAAAAGAAGTTAAATTAGAAAAAAACGGAAAGATGGAAGTAAAGAAAAGAAAGCCCAGAAAATTAAGAAAAAGAAGGAAGTAAAGAAAGAAAGAAAAAAAGAAAGCAACAAAGAAAGAAAATGAAAGAAAGACTGAAAGAAAGAAAGAAAAAGAAAGAAGAAAAGACAGAAAGAAAAAAGAAAGAGAAAAGAAAGAAAGAGAAAGAAAAAGTAAATGAAAGAAAAAGAAAGAAAGAAAGGAAGAAAGAAAAAGAAAGAAAGAAAGAAAGAAAGACAGAAAGAAAATGAAGGAAGGAGAGAAAACAAGATAACAGGAAAAATCAAGACTAAAGGAAAATATATAATATGAAGAAAGGAAATATCGTGGAAAGAAATAAGAAGAAGAAAAGAAAAATGAATTCAAAAGGTGGAAGAAAGACAGAAGTGAAAGAAGAAAGAAAAGAAAGAAATGTAGAAATACGATATAAGAAATTAAGAATGAAGAAAGAAATGGAAAAATGGAGAATTGAAATGATTAGAAGAAAAGAAAATCTCGTAAGAAAAAAAAAAGAATGAAGAAAAGAAAAATAGAAAGAAAGAAAGAAAAAGAAGAAAAGAAAAACGAGAGAAAGAAAGAAAATTGAAGAAATAAAGAAAACGATGGAAACATAAAAAAAAGAACTGATTAGACGAAAAGAAAACCTGGAAAGAAATTAAAAAAATGCAAAGAAAGAACGAAAGAAAGAAAGAAATGGAATAATGTAGAAAAGAAATGGTCAGGAGAAGAGAAAAATGGAAAGAAAGAAAAAAAGTGAAGGAAATGAGAGAAAAATATTCGTAGAGACAAATAATAACATCGACAGACAAGAAGACAAACTACCGTAGACTAAGTCAACAACTTTCATTAGAAAGCAAATCAGGTAGAAATTTGCAAATATATATCAAATATTGATGATTCTTGTAGTCTAATTCTTGCTTCTCTTGACAGCACAAAACGCTACTCTCTCTCTCTTCAGCTTCATCACTTTCCAAGATGTCTTATCCCTTTGTCTTGCCCCAATCTTCACCCTATTTCTAATCAGGGCAGAAGACTTAGTGGTCTCCGTATTTAATGCTTATTCACACGTCAAATACAAATGTAACACATGAGTCTAGAATTGGAAGTGTTGCCTTCGGATACTTTCATTGTAACTATTCTTCGTTTTTCTTCTGTCATTTTCCCCCTTTTACGTTCACCTTTTATTAAAAGATATTATAACTTTCTTCACCTTCTCCTGTCGCTTCATTGACCGATCCTAATTTTCGATTTTCTTGTTTTCTTTTCTTTATCTACATTTCAGATATTTCCTTCATTTTATATTCGAAACCTTTTCTTTATTCCTCTGTGCAATATTTTCGGACTTCATGCCTCACTTAACAACAATTTCTTTAGTTTTATTTTGTTTTTGCAAATTTATTATCTGTTTTCTGTGTTGGCTTCATCTTTTTCGTATGTATTTTTTTTTTTCGTTTTTCTCGTCTATCGCGTTTCTTTTGTCCGTTTTCATTTTTATGATTTGCCTGCTTTCATTTCCGATTTCTTGCCTATATGACTCGTCTTTATTTACTTTTTTCTTTCTTTCAAAATTCTTATAAAAATTTTCCTTTAAATCATTCTTTCTTTCTTTCTTTCTTTCTTTCTTTCTTTCTTTCTTTCTTTACGTATGTTCAGACTCTCTCTCTCCCTCCTTTTCTTTCTTTCTTTCTTTCTTTTTTCTTTCTTTCTTTCTTTCTTTCTTTACGTATGTTCAGACTCTCTCTCTCCCTCCTTTTCTTTCTTTCTTTCTTTCTTTCTTTTATAGTGATTTTCTAAGCGTAGCTTAGATGTGGCACAAAGTCAAAAGTATGGGGCACCCAGTGAGCATCGAACTCACTACTCAGTCGTAATTGTTCTAGCGAGACAAGCTCGCTATCCATTACACCGCCTCGAGATGCCCTAGTGACTTTCCAAGCGTAGCTAAGATGTAACACAAGGCCGAAAGTATGGGGCACCCAGTGAGGATCGAACTCATTACTTAGTCGTAATTGTTCTAGCGACACAAGCTCGTTAACCATTACACCGCCTCAAGATGCCCTAGTCATTTTCCAAGTATAGCTTAGATGTGGCACAAGGCACGACTAGCTTACTAACCATTACACCCCTTCGAGGTGTCCAAATAGTGATTTTCCAAGCGTAGCTTAGTGGCACAAGGCCGAAAGTATGGGGTACTATTCAGTCGTAAAGTACAAGCTTGCTAACCATTACACCACGCCGAGGTGACCCTTTTCTTTCTGTTATTTACCGTACATGTGAACACTAATGGGTATGTCCCAATCCTCATAAATACATTGGTCACTATTGTAAGTGGGGGTAATATGGTGTCTACGTAGTTCACCACTAGCAGTGGTTTACCTACTTCACGCCGCTGGCGAGTATTGTATTTTGTTGATGTTATAAAGATTACCATTTCATTTCCAACCTCCGTTTTTGGTTATTCCTCATTCAGTAACCTTTTCTAGGTTACAACAATTTCTTTCTTTCTTTCTTTCTTTCTTTGCGTATTACGTTTTCATCTTTTTCTTTCTTTCTTTCGTTTTATATTTCTTTCTTGCTCTTCTTCCTCCCCTTTCTTTCTTTCTTTCTTTCTTTCTTTCCCTATTCTTTCTTTCTTTCTTTGCGTATTACGTTTTCATCTTTTTCTTTCTTTCTTTCGTTTTTTATTTCTTTCTTGCTCTTCTTCCTCCCCTTTCTTTCTTTCTTTCTTTCTTTCTTTCTTTCTTTCTTTCTTTCTTTCTTTCCCTATTCTTTCTTTCTTTCTTTCTTTCTTTCTTTGCGTATTACGTTTTCATCTTTTTCTTTCTTTCTTTCGTTTTTTATTTCTTTCTTGCTCTTCTTCCTCCCCTTTCTTTCTTTCTTTCTTTCTTTCCCTATTCTTTCTTTCTTTCTTTCCTTTTTTCTTTCTGTTTTTTCATTTCTATCTTAATGATATTTTTATTTCTTTCTATCTTTCCATTGCCTTTTTTTTTTCAATATGTCTTTTTCTTCTTTCGTTTAAAATTAAAAAAAATTATCTCATAAAATAATAGAATCGACGAAAGCGCTCGGATATATAAACCATCTAGACAGTTTTTCCATACTTTATATCCACCTATTAAAATATAAGAGAAATTGAATAAAAAGATAATCACAGTAACTTGCGGGTCGTCTTTGATCGTGTTTATATAAAAGAGGGATTGTCGACTAATTATACAATTACGCGCTTGCGCGCACACACACATATATATATTAATGCATTTTTATGTTTATACATTCTTTTTATAGATTCAAATATTTAAGTAAATGCTTGGTTTATAATAAACAACATTTACCGGCCGAGAAATTTTCACAGAAAATATTCGTCCTTTGACAGGATTCGAACCTGTATCCTATACGGAACCGGCATTTAGCTTGACGTGCCTTTTACCGATTTGGCCACAGATATGAATGTACGTGCATGATTCATGGAAGATTGAAGTTCAAATACAGTAAATTCGACCTTGCTAACCGAACGAACACTCCTCTGTGGCCGAATCGGTTAAAGGCACGTCAGGCTAAATGACGGTTCCGTATAGGATACAGATTCGAATCCTGTCGGAGGACGAATATTTTCTAAATTTCTCGGACTTTCAGGCCGGTAAATGTTGTTTAATACTGTTTATTATAAACAGAGCATTTACTTAAATATTTGTTTTAATAGACTATATTTCTTTTAATAGAAATAAATGTATTAGAATTACTTACAGTAACTAAAATTATTTTTCCACATCAAGTATATGTATATTACGATTTTTAAAATTTTATGTTTAAATATTATTTAAGTAAAATTTATGGCACTTACGGCAAAAATGGCTAATTCATTTCTCTGATTTAGTAAACTTTATTTATTTATTTTTTATATATAAACTTAGTAATATATAGTTTTACATGTATGTAAAAAGGACATGGGTCATTCTATGGCCTACATCTTATAATCATATCGTCATAATTTCATTTTTCAGCAGGCGTTTTATTGGATTCATTTGAGTGTCGGTATTACTTTTTGAGAGGTGTTTAGGTTAGAATACGTTTTATTTAACTACAATTTTAAAAGATGTTTAGGTTAGAATTCGTTTTAACTACAATTTTAAATACAAATTTAAAATATTTTCACTGTTATTTTAATAGACTATTTTAAAAAAAAAAGTAAATGTAATAGAATTACTTACAGTATATAAAATTATTTTTCATGTTAAATTAAATATATATATATATATATATATATATATATATATATATATATATATATATATACTAGAGTTCAACGGTTTGTGGCTATCCCTAGTAATTTTATTATACATGGTTAAAAAGAGTGAGACATGATTATTATTAGAAATTTTATTATGGCAAAAAGAAGAACGCGTATTTTCTTATTTAATTTTGCCCTCGTTAAATTAACCTCCTTTAGCGTTGATTACTGCATCAGAAATATTTGGCATTCGTTGCAAAAGTTTGCTAATTCTTTTGTCAGTGACTCTGAGATTTCTTCTTAATTCCTTTTCACTCTTCTGTCAAGTTCATCCCATGCTAATTCTAAGGTGGCATCGAACTTTTGAACTGTAGTATATATATATATATATATATATATATATATATATATATATATATATATATATATATTATATTTAGATCTTAGAAGTTGCTCTTACTCTGTCACGAATCGACACACACCATATATATATATATATATATATATATATATATATATATATATATATATATATATATATATACAGGCTCATGAATCCATTCCCATCATATATATGTGTGTGTGCGTTTTTGTATACACACACACACACATATATATATATATATATATATATATATATATAGAAATGGATTCATTATCAAATATATACATACATACATACATATATATATATGTATGTATATGTAAAAATGGTCATGTATATATGAATATATATATATATGTAAAAAAATGTGTATATATATGTACTTAAAATGTGTACTATTTTGAGTATTGAGTTAGGTAAGTCTTTTCGACTTGTTTTTATCTCTTGCGCGCACACACACATATATATATATATGATTGGCATATATATATATATAATTTATATATATATATATATATATATATATATATATATATATATATGTGTGTGTGTGTGTGTGTATGTATGTATGAATGAATGTATACGTAGATAGATATTATCCTTATTCAAACATGTATATTCACCGATCTCCACGTATAGGCTAAATGAAATTATTATTAAATGCAGTCAATTCGAACTTTGCAGATAAAACAATTGAATGTGACTGAGTAAAAACGGCGAGAGGCCTTGTATTGTTGACGACTTCTAAGTAATTCCATTGTCTCCTCTGAATTATGAAAAATGCTTCTCATGACTTTCTGAAATAAAAGCTAAAAAACAAAATGAAATAAAAAAAAAAAAACGAAAACAATTACATCCCAATCAGCAGTATGTCTATTTACTTCCAAGAAATGTTTAAACCTTTTTTTTTTCTTTTGATAAAGTTTTCTATTAGGCTAAAATTTGGGTTTAACAAGTTTAACAAAAGGCTGTACATTTATTAAGTTCACTCTTACGATGAAAAGTTAACATTGTTCGTCATTAAAAAACAAAAGAAAAAAAAAATCAAATGATTTCGATCAGACGATTTTAAAGCGTCAATTACAAAAGGAAACACTTGTTGGTATACAATTGTTGATTAGTAAATAATAAAGGCGAAGAGTTTTGTTGTTTGCTAGGCTTCGTACGTTCCGTTCTATAGACGTAAGGTACCTGCTGAAAAGAAATTGGTTATTAAAAAAATTAGTTTATCCAAAAATAAATATTACATGAAATTACAGTTTTGATATTGGGAGGTAATGAAGTATTGTCATTACTGCACGCATTACGGACGTGTATTTGTAGATTGTATCAGTGCAATTCGGTAGGTGCGCTTGTTGTTCAGGCTGGCAGAAAAAAAAATATACACTATTTAAAAATACAGGGCGTCTACTCACCTACCGGCGTCCACTAAAAATAACGTTTGAAATAATAAAAATATGAGAGTAAGAATAAAAATCCATTAATTCTTTAAAAATTGCTTTCTTTACGTTTCGGATACGAAACTGAGCAGATATGTCATTCGAGATAATCTGAACGAGTGAGTGTGGTTTAAGGCAAGGTTTTATGCCTTTGCTTGACCGTGATGCTCACCGTGGCCGAGTGACCAAAGCACGTCGGTTCAAATCGTGGTTTCTTTTGCAAAGAGGTGCGCAAGTTCGAATCCTGCCAGAGAGCACATTTTCTTCATTATATTATGTCGAGTGCGCAAGCCAGTAGATAAAATAAGCACTGTGTAAAAAGCTGAGCGTCTGGTTAAAAATGGGTATCCATTAAAATAACGTTTCATGTAATAAAAATATGACGGATTAAAAAATAAGAAACATTAATCTTTATATATATATATATATATATATATATATATATATAAATATAAAGATTAATGTTTCTTATTTTATTTATATATATATATATATATATATATATATATATATATATATATATATATATATATATATATATATATATAAAAACAGTAATGGGAGGATTTGATAATTATATATCGCTCGCTCACATATTCCATGGCGGAACTCTACTGAGTTCTCTGTAACCATAGGACTGTGCCCCCTGGAGCCACGACTACTCTCACCAAGCCGCTCCTACTGGAGCATTAGAAGCCAGTTCAAGCGATGATAAACACAAACAGTAATTATTAATAAGTTGAGTCTGATTTGGAATCACTTCGTCACCGAGGCCTATTTGGAACAGTTGGTATGATGTTCGCTTGACAACCTAACTGTCAGGGTTTCAATTCTCGGTAGTTGATGCGCACTGCTGATGAGTCCCAGATATAGGACGAAACAGCTGTCTAGTGCTTTCTGCATTCTGTGGAGGTTTCTATCAGACTCGGTCAATTAATTAAATATATATATATATATATATGTGTGTGTGTGTGTGTGTGTGTGTATTGAATAAAAAACAATATAAATCCAAACGTTCATAACATTAATTTAAAAGAGGGCTCAATACCAAGATTAGAGCAGTAATTATTTATTTATTATAAGTTGTTACATACGGAGAAGCAAGTACTCACGACAGAGATGCAAATTTGTTTCGATGCGTAAGCATCTCATCAGGTGAGGAACAAGCCTTTTGTTAACCTTGTTCCTCGCCTGATGAGATGCTTACGCATCGAAACAAATATGAATCTTTGTCGTGAGTACTTATTTGTCCACATGTAACAACTTATCATATATATATATATATATATACATACACAAATATAGGTAACTATACTCGTTTCGAAAAACCCTTGAATTTTTGATTTGCCAATAATCAAATCAATCTCGAGGGAAAAAAAGGTTTTTAAAAAAGGAAAAGCTAGAAACATGAAAGTCTGTCGAAAAAAATCGCACAGATACAGGTTTGAAGCCCAAAGAAAAAAACCCGATACGAGTAAACAACTAACAAAAGAGCTCAATACAACCGTAGAGCAGACCTAGATAAACCTTTCCAGCTTTCCCTGACGATCCGCTTAGGTGAAACCTGGATAGGTTTGTCTGGCTCACTAGGTTTATCTATCTATCTATCTATCTATCTATCTATCTATCTATCTATCTATCTATAAATAAAAAAAAGAAAGAAGAGTAAGATATATAATCCGGTGTTCTTATAGATATTTTTATTTTTACAAAATAGTGCTCAATGTAAATTTACAGAGCATTAATATTATAAATTAATTGATTTAAAATATGTTTTTTTCTTTTTAAGAACAGTTAAATTATTTCACTGATTTAGTAAACTTTTATTTTATATATAAACCTAGTAATATATTGTTTCTCATGTAAGTACAAAGGACATTACTAAATCAGTGAAATTAAGTAACCATTTTTGCCGTCAGTCATAAATTTTTAATAAAAAAAAAATGTAACCTCATATACATACTTAAACTTGATGTTAAAATAATCCTACATAATATAATGGAGTCTAATACGTTTAAATTGTAGCTAATAACTGATACAATGATACTGACATAAGGAATACCTAGATATCCCTTGTCCAATTCAAGTAGAATATTCTGTAACCATGGAAACGTGATTTTAGCTGTGTCTTTAAAACTCAGTAATTTTTAAAAGTTACTCCAAAATTCGCTTGAGGATGAAATGGAACTAATGCTTTTAATTTAATTGCAAAATTAAATTCAGGGCTTTTAGGACGCTATTTTGAATCATGGTTAGAACTGTGTAGCGGAAAAAAACTATATTTTAAATCAATTAATTTATAATATATATATATATATATATATATATATATATATATATATATATATATATATTCTAAATTAATAATTTTCAGTTTCTTGTGAAAACTGATCCCCCGCTACCAAACAAATACAAATTAAAAGTAAGTCAGGGAAATTAATAATAATAATAATAATAATAATAATAATAAATCTTTGGATTTTATCAATGATCTCTAAATATAAAGCAGGAGCACTGGCTTGTCTCCTCGCCAGGGTTATGGTTTTTGTTTATTCACACAACAGGCATGTGGAGAGGGTGTTTAATTTTTGTTGTTGTTGATTGAGTGATTAACAAAATGAATTATTAATGAGTTAAAAGATAGGATAAGAGACTAAATTATCTTTGGGTAGTGTATTGTTTTGTTTTTTTGGGGTTTTTTTTTTTTCGTTTTTCAAGGAGTGTTATATAGGAATAAGGTGTCACTGCCGACACTTGAGTTTGAACATAGATCGCCAGTGAGCAAACACAGGCGATCCCATTATTGAATTAAGTAGACCACGTGACCATAGAGGAAACGCATATATGTGAGGTAGTGTGTGCCCAATTATTCTGCATTTTCTAGTCTATCCGCTATTGAGCACCCCTAGGTGGTGTAATGCTTAGCAAGCTTGTCTCGCTAAAACAATTACGATTGCCTCAAACTTTCGGCCTTGTGCCACATCTAAGCTACGCTTGGAAAATCGCTTCTAGTCTATCCGCTATTACTATTCGGATCGTTATTTCTAGTCTATCCTCTATTACTATATGGACCGCTATTCTCTATACCATTCACTATACTATTTCTCAATTCGGATCACTATACGGATTACTATTCGAGCGAGGATTATCTAGCAAGTACTATTAGTACGAGTACTATTCGAAGGTGTCTGACACTAGTATTGTTCAACGGCGTTACTATAGTTGTATCTGCGATTACAAAATCTCTACTACAACGAGCATTTACGAAAGTGACAACGAGTATTCGTTGGCATGACGAAGTGGCAACGAGTGTTCGTTGACATCACAAAAAGGATTTTTTTAAATTCTTTTTCTACGGTTTACCAATGCAGGTTATTTAAAGGCAGAAATATTTTTAGATTGTAATTTTTTTGTTTTGTTTTAGATAATAATGGTTTAGTCATACAAGTATTACTAATTAATCCATAGCAGGAGAGAGAAGAAGTGAATTCATACTTTTGCCACAGGTACGAGAATGTAACGGACCCAACGAGAAATCGAACCCGGCTCTCCCCTTAACAACCAAGAGCCATTATCCGTTACACAATCCGCACATCATCGGGCTGTTTGTGCTACCATTTTCTTTTTCAGTCAGTAAAATGCCATCAAATATATGAACAAAGATACTAAATATATTTCAATAATAGTCAGATTATTATTATTATTATTATTATTAATAATAATAATATTAATAATAATGTGGCACATGGAAACATCAACAATCCCTTTTGTAGTTGGAGCTCTCGGATTGGTTGGAAAAGATTCCAGTAGACTCATTGAAGAGATTCCTGGAAGTCCATGCCTTAAAGAAATACAAAAAAATGTTCTCACGAGTACAGCCCACACCTTACGAAGGGCTCTATGTAAAATATGTATTTTTTTTTTTTTTTGAATTGGTCAGTGAAAAATGTTATGAGGGCATTTCTGAACTTACGTCTCTGGGCGGGACCCGGAAAGAAATGTGTACACACCAGAAATTAAAAGAAATAAAACAACAATAATAATAAACAGACGACACGAAAAATCATGTGAACACGGTTAAAACTATGCAGTACTTTTTAATGAAGAAACCGACTTCGTAACACAAATCCGCCACCACCACCACAAAAAAAAAAGAAAGAAAAAAATTTAATAATGGCTAACCATAGCAGAAATAAATCCGACATTGGACAATTTATATGTACCTGAAACCAAGAAAATGATCTGAAATATTGAAAAAATAAATGAAATAAAAATATGAGACAATGAAATTTCGCTGGCTTTCAGCCAAAATTTTATAAGTGAAAAAATACTACTTATGTTCAAGGGAGAAAAAAAAAAAGATTTTTAAATGTTATTCATGCTAGTGTTTTTTCTTTTGTTTTTTTTTTTTTGGGGTTATTATTATTATTATTATTATTATTTCTTCTGTTTTGTGTCCAAATACTATGCCAATTTAATCCGTTAATTAGGCGCGGTTGTAACCCCCCTCCTTTTTTTCTACCAAGCTGCCTCGTCTGCTTCTTACGCTAATCACTGTTTTCCATTCTTCATATTTCCAACACATTCAGTCACCCACCCACACACACGCTCACAGATGACAGCTGAGGGACAGTCAAAGGGAGACAACTAATATTGACACAAATCACAGCTACTAGCTATCCCTTCTATGCGGGCACAGCCGGGTTAACGCTGACGCGTAAAGAACACAGATGTGTCTGTTGACATTTTTGAACTTTTTTTTTACTAATATTTACCCAAGAGCCACTCAAGGTAGAGGTGTTGTATTAGCGTAAGAAAAAAGAAGTTCTTGGGGCTATGCAGGAAAAACAATGGTCAAGTCTAAACTTGAACTTGACAAGATTGAATTAATGAATAGCATTTCAGAAGAAATAGAAAGGAGATTTAAAAAAGAACCGGAACAAAAGACAGGGGAGGAGTATGAACCGAACAATAGGCGGACCTATCTACTCCCATTGAGGTGGAATAAATAGTAAATAAGGTTCCAGGGTTTAGGCGGAGACGTTAGAAGTAGAGTTGAATTAGACGTTAGAAGGAACCGGACACCCAATCCTTATCTGCAAATAAGGCATAAACCTCTACTCCTGTTCAAAAGACTGGGGAGGAGTGTGAACTGGACGATAGGCGAACCTATTTACTTCTACTGGTGGGGAAGAGAGAGGGAAAAATTATTGAACAAAATGTTACAGTTTAAGCGCAAACGTTAGAAGTACAGTTCGTTTGGTTTTGTTTATTTTACGGTATATCAACCTCAATGGATTATTTAATGCCGACAAGATTTTTATTGCTTGGAATATTTTTATTCCGTGTAATATATTAGAGGACTGATGTTATTTACTCTTTTCTTTGGTTCAACATTAGTCAGTGATCGGGATAGTGTAGTAAGAAGCGACCGAAAATCGATGCTGAATTTTTGGCAACCGGTTTAGTTTGGTTTGGTTTATTTTACGGTATATCAACCTCAGTGGGTTATTTAATGCCGACAAGATTTTTATTGCTGGTACTATTTTTTTCTTCAAAAATGTATTATTGGGAATGTTTTTTTCAAAAATGTATTGCTGGTAATGTTTTCTTTTTTCAAAAATGTATAGCCGGTAATTTTTTTTTTTTTCAAAAATGCATTGCTGGTAATATTTTTTTTCCAAAAAAAGTATTGCTGGAATTAATTTTTCCAAAAATTATTACTAGTATTAAAACCGATGTTTATACTTTCATAGTATTTTGACCTCCCTTTGGAGGGTTAACTATTTGCCCATAGCTGGGACTCTAACAGGTGCTACCATCTCGGGTCAGGGTGGACCTGAGAACACCAGCAATTGAGGTGGTTCCACGGGCCTCAAAACCCTAACCCTTGCTGCCGGATGTAGTTTATCGTCATACCCAGGACTTAGGAGTATAGAGAAGAATTAGATTCAGAATTCTATTCTATAAGTGATTTCTTCCCTCACAAGATAACGATTTTGAACTCTATACAGTCTGGAAAAGTGAAGATTAAGCAGCTCCAGCCTAGTGAATGTAACCCTAAACCACTGGGATTGTTTGTTGGAGAGAAGTTGGGCGCTGTCAAGTAATTCTTATTGCCTCGAGTTGTTTGAAATGTTTGGTATTTACTAATTCCACATCCTGAATTTTTATGATGAATTCAGTCCATCACTGTTTTAATACCAAATCCAGACCACAGTTTCGCTTTTGGACATGTTTATTTTAAGTCCTATTTTTTTGGTAGAGGATGTTGAGATGTTTTTTTCCTTTATTATTCTTATTCCAGCTATAAATATCCATGTCGTCGGCATATCCCCCCCACCCCGGCCATCGTCAATACATTGGCCTCGGGAGGGAAAGCAGAATTGCTGTCTTTTATAAGTTGATTCGTTTTAAATGCTTACATAAACAATCTCCATCTCATCATATCTATGCTTATAAACGCACAGGGAATTGTCCAGGAAAAAGATTACATAGACTGATACTTTATCTAAATCTTTCATTCTATTAAGCATATTTGGCTGGCTCTTATAAATGCCTACATTTGTATCCAGTGTCATTTCCTTGACGTATTACCCTCAATAATAATAATGATAATAATAATAATGATGATGACCGAAGGTTTTATCCTTGCTGCACAGGAC